TGTATAAAATCAGTCAACATTTATTAAACTCCTATTATGGAATACAAAAAAAATGCTTGGATGAGATCTCTAAAGGAAGTCACAGTCTAGTTGGCGGTTGGAGGGGAACAGATAAAACTAAGATGATGACACGGGGCAAGACATGGGGACAGGCAGGTGCTGTAAAGAGGCACTCACTGGCTGGCACTGAGGAAGGCTCCTAGACAATGTGCCAGCCGAATGGGACCCTGAAAGAGAAATAAGAATCTGTTGCCATTAACAGAAGCTTCCTTCAATTGATCCAAATATTGAGAAGAGGAAAGAGGAGGATAAGAAATGAAAATTTAAAATGTGAATAAACTGAGACAAAGGCCTTAGCAGCTAATGAAGTGGGTCATTTAAACTCAGCGATGATAATCTGATTAGGCCGAAATTGCAATCACTTCACCTCAGTTATTTTTTAAAATTTTTATTATTTGTATGACATCAGTGTACTCATACCCAAGAGACAAAATAAGGTGAGGTCTTAAAGGTATTTTCAAACTAAAAGGAAGTAAAGAAACCTTATCCTACTAATGCATAAGGAAAGAGCAAATGTTATACAATTTGGAAATTAAGTTTAAAGAGAATCCTTGGGAGATTCAGTTCAATTTGAAATGTTCTTTTATGATCTAAAAGATTTATTTGTTTGGCCGGGCGCGGTGGCTCAAGCCTGTAAACCCAGCACTTTGGGAGGCCAAGGCGGGTGGATCACGAGGTCAAGAGATCGAGACCATCCTGGTCAACATGGTGAAACCCCGTCTCTACTAAAACTACAAAAAATTAGCTGGGCATGGTGGTGCGTGCCTGTAATCCCAGCGACTCAGGAGGCTGAGGCAGGAGAATTGCCTGAACCCAGGAGGCGGAGGTTGCGGTGAGCCGAGATCACGCCATTGCACTCCAGCCTGGGTAACATGAGCGAAACTCCGTCTCAAAAAAAAAAAGATTTATTTGTTCTCAGGTCACCAAAGAAAATATCATAAACTTGTTCAAAATGAAGATGAGGGCATGGAAAAAGCTATTCTTAGCTATACAAGTATAAATAAAATAGGACTTCCTATGACTAAAATAATCATTCTTAAATTCGTGCAACTGAAGATGTAATTTAAAATTGGACCATTTTAGACAGACATTTTTACATCTTCAGTTTCTGCAAAGTCACTTTCTCATTTAATAGCCATTTATTGAACCCCTTTTAGATGTAGACATTCTATTTGAAGTTGTGAAGAACATAAATGTCAGTAAGATAGTCTCTGGCTTCAGAGCTTATAAGCAAAAATTTCCGTATCTTCATAATATCTCCTGTTTCATCTTCCATATCTCCCATCAAATCCAAAACACTTTCGTTCTGTTTCCGTTACCTTTCCATGCTATCTGTGATCTGACCTTTCACCCTTGAGCCCTGCCATTATCCTCCATGTCAGCCCAAGTATTTCTCAGTAGCTAAATTGTGCTCCAGCTTGAAAAACACTGACGCAGAAAGTCGTTTTTTACTCCCTCTTTGATTTGAATTTATGGAAGAAAGCCACAGGAGCAGCATGGTTGTAGAAGTTGGGCAGTCACAACAGTTCCATCAGTCCAGGTGTGAACTATGGTCCGAAGCAAGAGACACAGACCTCTGAGGCAGAGGAGCAGACGCCTGGAGATACCATGCCTGAGCCCAGGGCTCCCTGGAGCCTCTCTGAACAGCCTCTCCTTTGGTAACCCTTTATTTGTATGCCGAGTAAATCCGGGAGTGCTGGTGGTCCTTTCTCCAGAACATTTGTTGAAAGTTTGAATGAAAAGACAGGCTCCAAAAAAAAAATAAATAAATACATTTGTTACCTTTGATAAAGCAGACAGACCCAAAAGGACAGGGCCCCCATTGAATTGTGCCTTTTCCTTTGCTTTCCATTTGGATGTTAACAAAAATTTTGCTTTTAGAATTACCTTATCAAATTTAGACTATAGTTTTTATGCATTTGCAACTAAAAGTATCTGCAGAAATCTAACACCCTGGTTTTCCAAAACTATAAATCATGTAGGCCTGTTTCACTATTCCACACATGTATGTACACAGAACTATGATTTAGGGAGAAATTCTTAGGGTTTTTTTGTTTTGTTTTGTTTTTGTTTTGTTTCTTTTTTGGTTTTTGGTTGTTGTTTTTTTTTTTTCAGAAGCATTTAACTGTATTCAACGTAAGGATACAGTTGATATTTCTCAAAATTATGACTAAGAGAACTCAGTTATTCTTAGCCATCTGTCAGTGAAATTAAACTTTTTTTCAAAGAAATAATGGCTCTCAAAGAGATAGTTACGACATCATCCATACATATTCATAATTTGAAAGTCACGGTTGTATTGACTGAGCTTAGTCTTTGTGCTTTATATACTTTTGCCAATGGGTAAATAAGAGGCCAGTCATCAGAATGCACTGCTTAGTAAATGCAACCCTGTTACAATAACTTGTGTGAGTATAGGGTGGTGCCATATTTGATGGTAACCTTCATTCTCTGTGAATGCTTATAACACAGTGGAATTCAGATCACACTTGGCAGGCCTGAGCAGGCCACAGCCTGGAGGTGAGCGTTGTTTGTGAAGGTAGGACCTCATCACTGTGCCGGTCACACTAGGTGAGTTCATTTCATTAAGCACATAGCGGTTAAAAAAGCAAGTTCTACCAGGAAATATGCATCAGTGTATAGGTCCTTTGGAAACTGTTACATATGTACAGTTTGGACAAGAACCAACTATAAATGAAATACAGATTCCGGGACACTAATCATATTTTTAGATGAGCTCACAGAATCACTGATGTTTCGCCACTTCATCATTTTCTAGTATATTATATTCTACACCAGTGCTTTCAACTACATTTCCAGTTAATAAAATTGACTTGTATGCCAGAAAGTATCGCAAATCATTCCTAAACTCAAATAGACCAGAGCGTCTACAAAAATTCAAGTACATTTTATTCCAGAAACATAGGGGCTCATAGTCCCTCAACATTTAAAAACATTTAAAAACTTTAATATAAATAGAATGGGTGATACCTAGGAATGTTCAAATTCAGAAAAAATAAAAAGCACTGGGACTCAGGGTTTTACTCATAGTTAAAGCAGCATCCTTAAATAAAAGATTAATACCGAAAGAGACCTTGGGTAATTTGATTCCTAGCAAAACCTGTGAGGTTTTATACATAAGCAACACCAAAGCTTACAATAGTAGAAGAAAGGTCTATCGCTGTAACTTGAACGGTAAAAGAAGAAAAGCATTCTCAAAGCCCATCCCTCAACAACAAATCAATATGTATAAAAATCAAGTTGCCAACTCTGTGCCAGAATCTTAAACTCTAATGGACATCTGTGATTTATACATGTTTAAATGAGATGTATCCATGCTTAAATAGCATGCATACGTTAGATACCAAATGTGTCTCTTGGATTCCAGTCTCCAAATGACCACTAAATGCTTGCATAGCCCTTTCAGAGATAAAAGAATTGCACTTCCTCTCCCCGTATTTACCATTACTCAGGTCCCTTGCCACCTTCCATCGGCTCTAAACTATGATACTACTGACACTGTGCCAAAGATGCAATGTCGTGAAAGTGAGCAGAGTGATAAAAAATACTTTTATTTGGTGACACTCCACAGCACTCCGTTTGTCATTTTATGCCTCAAAATGCAACTTAACAAATAAGGTCTCAAAAATCTAGAGATTAGCCAGGCATAGTGGCTCACACCTGTAATCTCAACACTTTGGGAGGTTGAGGCGGGAGAATCACTTGAGCCCAGGAGTTCAAGACCAGCCTAGGCAAGATGGTGAGACCTCATCTCTACAAAAATAAATTTAAAATTTAAAAAAATTAGCCGGGCATTGTGGTGCACACCTGTATTCCCAGCTGTTTAGGAGACTGAGACGGGTGGATAGCTTGAGCCCAGGAGTTCGAGGGTGCAGTGAGTTATGATCATGCCACTGCACTCCAGCCAGGGTGACAGAGAGACACCCTGGCCCTATATAAAATAAATAAATAAATAATTTTTAAAAACTAACGATTTTGAGGCGTATCTTTTTCTTAAGTGAAAAACTAGATGATTATGCCTATTTTAAGAAAGGCAAATATAAAAACTCCCAAAAAATGAAGGCAGTTAATTTAGGGATCAACCACCTGAGTATCAAAAGTGTGTTTTCTCCCTTAACCACAGAAACATCGTCGAGCAAGACGGAATTCAAAGAGGTGCAGAATAACTGAAAGGAAATAGTGGCTGGCAGTGATGATTAGAGATCCACTAAAAAATCAAACTGGAAGATTGCTGAAATTAGGGAATAAACTGATGGGAAAATATGATTGAATTTACCGAGATCTATTTTACAAATAGATTTTCACAAACCTATCTACTAGATGCCTATACACTTAATATAACAGTATTTTCTACTCTCCCAAGATAATATGTGTTATGCGATACAAAAGCATTCCAAGGAAATGTAGAGGGTGTGTTTTTAGGTGACTTGAGCTTTTTAAGAGAGGGAGAAGAGGCAGGCACTTAGCCGCGCACGCTGATCGTGTGTTTACACTCTCCACATCAACACTGAGCAGTGCCAACCAGAACATGTCACCTTGAGTCTGAAGCCACTGCTCCAGGTCTCAGTAGGAGCTTTTGTCCAGGTGAGGAGTGGGATTGGCCCTTAGCAACTCTGACTCAGTAGGTGCCATTTTCTACGTACTGAAATTAGAGGATAATTCTATTTCAGGAGGGGGAAAAACAGCTTGAGCTTTAAACATTGAAGTTGGCTGCATCAGAAATATGTTGACAGTGCTAAAAGGCTCATTCCCCACCTCTTGGTACTTTTTTCTTTCTTGCCCCTGCCCCATTATTTATTTATGTATTTATTTATTTTTGGTAGGCCTGCTATTCTCCTTTTGTTGCAAGGCTGCATTTTAATTCATCTGATTCTGCAGTTTATCAAAGCCCTTTGACACCTGTGTTCATTTGTTCTCAGCTGGTGAATGAGCAACAAGAAAGCAGACCCCTCCTGAGTCCCTCCATCGATGACTTTCTCTGTGAAACCAAATCGGAAGCAATAGCAAGGCCAGTAACATCCAACACAGCTGGTAATTCTTTCACTTTTAACCGTTCCTCAAGTCGAGTTAATTTTAACTGTAGTAAAATGCACATTTTTTCCATAATGCCTTTTAAGTGGGGAATAATGTTTGCAACCAAATGAAACTTTATAATATATGCTATTTAGCATAAACCAATAAATCACAGAAATTGCCATGTATATTACCCAACCAATTTTGCTGAACATAAGTATACCACTATTAGCAATGAATCGTGTTTTCATGTATACTTTCATATTTATGTATTTATGTCTAAAGTCGTATCACATTAGAAAAATCTTTAAAACAAAAACATCTATTTTAGAGTCAGGTTTTTCAAGTTCTGGCTGATTGTCCAGTTATTTCTGGACATGTTTTTATAACAGAAGTGCAGCAAGTAAAAACGTGGCCATCTTTTCAAGTGAATTTAAATGACAAAATATCCTACAGCCTCGGGATCGCATAGGGCCAGTTTCATTTTCTGTCATATAATGTGTTACTTGCTCCTCCTCACAATTTATTGGAACGTTCTCCTGGAATTAAACATTCTCAAATAGCAAGCCACCCCCTGCTCAGTGCCTGTGACACATAGGAATAGGCACTCAGTAAGTATTAATCCAATGAGTACAGGATGCCACTGGTATAAATTACACTTCCCCTGCAGAGGCAGTCTTCCCGCAGTGATTTCATTCGGTCAGCATTCACACTCAAAGTCATGTCATTCAAATAAGAAAGAAAAAATGAAGTTCAGAATCAAAGAACAAAGGTTATGTTAGATGTGCAGAGTGGAATTTAATGGAAATAGAAAAGGATAGTTACAGACTGTCTGTTAAATTCATTCCGTTTTGTCATCTTGGCTTCAGTTTGTTGTTGGCTTGCATATTTTCATTATATTTCTAGGGAATAAAATCACAGGAGAAGGAAATCATGACTTCTCCAAAATGCCAAGAATTACAAGATGATTAACTAGCATGAGATAGGCTCCTGATGTGAAGTCATATTTTACAGTTTCTGGGTTCAAACTCCATGAATGCAAACCCCAGCTCCGTACCCAGTGGGCGTATGGCTTCACTACACCTCAGTTTCTTCATCTGTTTAATGATAGTAAGATCTACATCTCATAAGTTCATTGGAAAGATTCAAGGAAGCACTCCGTGAAAAAGTTTAACTCCGTGTAAACTCTTAACTGGTGTAACCATTTCTGTTAGATTTTAGGTGAGAACAGCATGTGTTCCCTACACATTCATTTTCAGTTGCATTGACTTGTTTATTTCACATGACAGCAATCATTTTCTAAATTCAGCTATCATTTTCCTTAATCAAAAAATTAAATGGCACTTGGTAAATTCTAGGTAGGAAATTAAACAAGTTCAGTTACTATCAGATCAGATTCATCCCCTGATCTATGAAACTGAAGCTCGCCCCTTCAAAATTCCAGAACCACCCAGAAGGATACAAAGAACCTTGTGTGTCTAATTGCAGATGAATCCCTGAGAATTGTATGCACTGAGAATTTCCTCTTCAGGCTCCAATTCTCACTGATGGTAAAACTAAGTCACTTAGAAAGGACCCAGCCTGAGAGAGCAATGTAAGATTTGATTCAAAAGCTTCTTTCAGCTTGATTTTTCTGATATATAATAGAAAGAATTGTGAAATAATTGGAGGAAAAAAATTCAAAAGAAAGTGTAATTTCTCATAATCCCAATATCCACAACATTGCCCTCCGTACTAGTCCTGGGGCTGCCGTGACAAAGTACCACCACGGAGCCGATTCAACCACAGAAACCTCTGTCTCAGTGCTGAGGGCTGGAAGCCCAAGAGCACGCTTTCAGCCTGGCCACGCGGCCCGTGAACGTGCTGAGTGAGGCTCTGTTCCCCGCCTCTCTTCTGATTCCTGGTACGGCCTTGGTTGACGGCAGCACAGCTCCAATATTTGCATGGTGTTTTCTCTGTGTGTGTGTGTCTCCCAGTGTGCAGGTCTGTCTCTGTGTCCAAATTTCCCCTTTTTATGAGGACACCAGTCTGATTAAACTAGGGGCCTACCTGATTCTAATATGACCTCATGTTTATAATTATATCTCGAATGACCATATTTCCAAATATGATAATATTCTGGTGTTAAGACTTCTACATAAACCACTCAACCCATAACACTGTCCAGCATAGACAGTGTTCTGAGGGTGGGAACTTTTTATAAACCACTCAACCGGTAACACTCTCCAGCATAGACAGTGTTCTGAGAGCAGGGATTTTTTCCTCACCTTCATTTTTCAGTGCACCTGGTTCACACAGATTTTTATCCTGAAGAAAGACTCTTGTTTCATAGCATGTTTTTAATCTTAAGAGTATATCTCAAGGCAAAAATTTATATATTTTTTAATTCCTAAGAAATCTAGTTTTTATATAAATCAATACAAAATAAAAAGCATAGGAAATATTTACCTTTTCCAGAGGTCAGATGATTTTTTTCTCTATGAACCCTGAAACAACATATCTTTTGCCTCATAGAAGCTCTAAATTATAATTTTTCCACCCAATTCAATTAGATTATCTGAAAAACAAAAGTTTTTGAGAGTGCCAACTATTTAAAATAAATCATGCTTCAGACTATTCAAACTGCCAAATAATTAGAAGCTAAACAAATGAATTAAAACCTTATCAATAAAGTTGGCGCACTGCCTTAAGGTTCAGATACAGCCTAGAGAGGACTGTTTAAGAACACAGACTTTGGAGAGAGGAGGCCTGCATCCTGTGTTTGAATCCTGGGATGAACGCTGACATACCAGTTATATTAGTTTTCTCTTGCCGCTGTAACAATTATCACAAATTTACTGCTTAAAACAACACAGATTTATCATCCTAAGATCAAGACGTCAACAGAGCTACATTACTTCTGGAGGCTCCAGGACAGAATTCATTGCCTTGCCTTTTCCAGCTTCTAGAGGGCACCTACAGTTTGGTGGCTTATGACTCCTTCCTACGTCTTCAAAACCAGCAGCTCTCTCTCACACACACCTCGTTCTCCACCCTCATAGCCCCTTCTCTGGCTCCGACCCCCCAACTCCGTTTTATAAGAACTCTCAGGATGACGTAGGACCCACAGGGGTCATCCAGGTTAATCTTTCAATCTCCAAATACCTAATTACATCTGCAGAGTCCCTTTGCCAAGTGACATGTCAAGGTGAATATTCACAGGTCCTGGGGATTCGAACGTGTGCATTTGAGAGGGAAACGTTTTTCTGCCACACCAGCTGTGTGACTTTGGACAAGTTACTTAATATTGCCAAACCTCGGGTTTCTCGTATGTGAAATTAGAATACCTTTTTCACAGGAATGTTATGTAGACTAAACAAGAAAACATTCGTAAGCACTTTCACCATATCATATATTTTCAATATGTAGTTTTGTGATCATTTACAACGTCATATGTCTGCAGTTTGCTTCAAGCATGAATGCTTTCAGTAGTCTTCTGGTAGCAATAGATATTTATTTGCATCGTGACTACGCTTACGGTGCTGTTCCAAGAGCTTTAGATAAGCACTTCATCCAATATTTTACCCTGAAAAGTAGTGTTCTTCTTCTTTTAGGTGGGCAGAAGCTGAGGCTCAGAGAGGCTAAGTGGCTTGCCCCATCACACAGCTGGTGCGTGGCAAGTAGGCATTTGAACGCAGGCAGCCTTCACCGCTGTTCCAGGCAGCCTTATTTTATGTGCAATACACACATAACATCAAGACACCGAAATAGATTCGTTGAACTGAAGAAGGCAGGACACAGTGCCACAAGGGTGGCTGGCAAAACGTAGCGTGCTCAGAAGCAACTGAGCTGGAATTCCCTGGCTAGCGCAGACAGAAGTGAAGTCAGGGGCAGCCCTTGGGCAGTGGGGTCTCACGGCCTGTGAAGCTGTGATGGTGACTGACGGGTCCGGGGAAAAGGCTGCATATGTGAAAACAAGATTGCACCCATTAGGTATTTTATTGGGTCTATACTAACGTGCATACACACACGTGCACACACACATGCACACATACATGCACACGTGTATGCATGTATGCACATGCATGCACACACGTACACACATACACGCACACATGCACACACATGCACTTTTCACATTCACTATAAGAGGAGATTATCCTTTGTGCTCCTTTTTTTGAGAGACAGGTCTTACTCTGTCACTCAGGCTGGCGCAAACTTCTGGGCTCAAGCAGTCCTCCCACCTAGCCTCCCAAGCAGCTGAGACTATAGGTGACTGTCGTCTCGCTTGGCTATTTATTTTTTATTTTCTTAATTGTTTTGTAGTGACTGAATCTTGTTATATTGCCTAGGCTAGTCTCAAACTCCTGGCTTCAAGCGATCCTCCTGCCTTGGCCTCCCAAAGCACTGGGGTTTAAAATGTGAGCCCCCACACACACACGTTGGTGCTATTAATTTAAGCACACAGATACTGAAACCCAAACCTTCACATGCTTGAAGAATCTTCACAAGAGGACTTTAAAGTGAGCAGAGCAGACACCACCCTTCCATACCAAGGCATGCTGTCTTTGAAGCATGTGTGGAGCCATAAGATTCCAGTTTTTAAATCTTAACTAAAGGACACACACATGCTAAAAGGGCTGCACCCACCCTTCTCTGCTTTTGAAAATGTGCTCTGCAGGGACTTTCCCAGCTTCAGAGCTTGCCGTTCGACCTCCAAGCCACCTCCTTCATCATCAGGCTAACCAATTAGGCCTTTTGTATGTGCCAAGCATTTGTTTCACATTTGCAAGGAAAAGAGCAAAGAGGCAAAGAGCTCAGAACAAACGCAGAAGTGCCCAGGACGCTTTGGAGGGCGAGAGAACCTTACTGAGCCAAGTTTGAATGTGCAGTTCACCCTTTTAGTAATTCATTTATTCTGAATGGTGAGAAGCAGATATAGAATTAAATTAGTACTTGCCAGTTGTTATTCCGTTACAAATGTGCTTCCTGTGTTCAAATAGACAATTCCTTTATAATTTGCTCCTAAAAGTCTAGGAGCAAGTGACTAACTCTTAATTGTTTGTACAATTAGTAAAAAGATATCTATGGCATTCCATAGGCTGTCATCACTTTCCTTTCCTCCTTTACAGGAGCATCACATTGTGCCTAGACTCCTTACCAGCATGATAGTGGTCTGGAAATTTCTGTGTGAATGCTCAGGGGTATAAAGCGTGAGGCATTCTAGCCTGTTTTGGCTGTCTGCCATGCTTCCATTAGAGACATAAAGCCAGGCAGCTCAGCTCTGAAGGACACTTCTTTCCCTCTGTGTTGAAGTACTTACTAGCCACACAGTCCCTGGCATCTCAGGGCATCTTAGCACTGGAAAGTGCTTCCTGTTGCCTCAGGAAGATTCTGTTGAGATAAGCTGACACTTTCAGGCCATTTTATGATGAATTTACTTCAGAGGATCCTCTGCAGAACCAATATCTTGTCTCATCTCCAGTTTTATTCCCAGTAGCATTTTCTTTCTGTCAGTGTGCGGATCTGATTCTTGCCTCAAATAAAAAGAAACAGAGAAAACAGGAGGACATCAACAACCGTAGCAGCAGCAACTAAAAGGACAGAAAAGCATCACACATTGGCCACCGAAGAATGGAAATCACATTTATTGAGTACCTATTGTATGCCTGGTAATTTACATGCATTAGATCATTTAATCTTCATCTTATACCTAAAAGACAATTAATTCCCCATTTTCAAATGAGGAAACTGAAACTCAGAGAGGTCAAGAAACTTACTTCATGCCACACAGCTAAGCAGTGACAGAGACAGCAGTGCTGTTTCCACTTCACCAACAGCATCCAATCACTGTGACTTGGAATTGGAATCAGAAAACAAGGTTATTAAGAGTAAAGTTTGACACACCGTCCTGAAGATCCCGAAGGAGTGCTTAGCTCATGAAGCAGTGCGGTGCAAAAGGAATCCTGGTTGTGAGTTCAGTGGAGTCCTGCCCCTGGCTTTGAGTACAGGGGAGAAGCAGACAGAAGAGTGCTGAGACTTCAGCAAAAGCCCATCCCCCACCTGGAGAAAAAGGCTGGAGGTGAAAGAGGAACGGTGTGGCTCCTGTTGTGGACAGCCACGGAGGGTTAATGCAAGCAGTGTGCCTTGTCTTTCTGTGGCTTTCCTAAGTAGCTGGGTGCAGAGATTCCACGCCAGGAAGCCACCAGTGCTGCCCTGAAGCTAGTCTCCCCAGGGCAGTGCCAGGGCCAGTGGAACGGCAGGTACTGGGGGAGAGGCAGAGGACCTTCTCAGTTTGAATTTTCTGTTTCTCACAATGAGCTAGTCAGACACTGGTTATGGGCACTGTAAAAGAAAGAAGCAGCGAAGGTTATAAAGCTTGCTTTTTAAATTCTCATTTGCCTAATTTGCATTTAAACAAGTTATTTCTGCTTTCATTAGAGTGTTTAATGCAATGTAATCAACCTGCTAGGAAGTAAAAGTGTAACAGTTTTATAGTTTGTTACATTGAAATTTAAATTTGCATACTCAACAGCAAAGGTGTTAAAGTGTGTACCTATTCATCGACTGTGGAGTATGAAATACCTCTCTTGTGGGAACCCAAACGGTGCCATTTTCTGATTGAACTGCTTAATTAAATAAAAGTTGATTAACAGCACTGCTTTGCATCCCATATACTTTATTGTTTAAAATTAAAACACAAAGACATTTAAAAGCTTCACTAAATCTCTGAATATGATAGATTCCTTTCTGGGAAACTGCAATCTAAAATAACCTTCATATAAATAAAGCAAAGCAGTAAAGTAAATAGCACCTGAACTCAGATTCAGTTTGATCATTTTAATGTCATTCAAAGCTTCGTCATTGCTGAGGCTGGTCTAAGTCCTTTGTTACTGATTTGTGCTACACCAAATGTAAGAACCAATGCAGTGAACATCCCAGTCTAACAAGCTGTCTTTATAAATCAGCGGTGAGCTGACTTAATTTTATTCTAACCTATTCTACAAACACAAAATCTTTCTGTACCAAACTGAAACCTATTTTAAAAAATAACTTCAGGCCGGGCACAGTGGCTCACGCCTGTAATCCCGGCACTTTGGGAGGCCAAGGCAGGTGGATCACAAGGTCAGGAGATCGAGACCATCCTGGCCAACATGGTGAAACCCCATCTCTGCTAAGAATGCAAAACTTAGTCAGGCGTGGTGGCGCGTGCCTCTAATCACTGAGGCAGGAGAATTGCTTGACCGCGGGAAGGGGAGGTTGCAGTGATCCAGCCTGGTGACAGAGCAAGACTCCGTCTCAAATAATCGTAATAATAAGTTCAGAGTAATAAATGGGCTTATCTTAACCTCTTCCATTTCTGATAGTATTGACCACTGGCTTAGATCTCCTCGACCTGAGTGAACCAGTCTCTCAGACCCAAACCAAAGCCAAGAAGTCAGAGCCCTCATCAAAAACCTCATCCCTCAAGAAGAAGGCTGACGTATCTGACCTCATCGGCACAGATGCTGAGCAGAGAGGCCAACCTCTCAGAGCCCCGGAGACTTCATCCTTAGATCTAGGTAAGGCGATCACTTGTGGCTGTCAATGCTCAACCTTGCTCTGCTGGCGTGGATATGAGAGGAAGTTTCCACCAATGGCATTAAACAGTGAACAAAGGGCTGGGAAAGGCGTCTTCCATGGTGGACACGGGGCAGGACCTGGCTTCTTTTGGTCTTGAATTGTATAGCAGTTGGGAGCTCAACTTTGCATAACTGGCTGATTCATTTATTTATTCAACCCACAAATACTGACTTATTGATAGGTACCGGGCGTCAGGCTAGGCACTAACATCACGAATAAAGATAAAACGTGCATCTTGCTCTTGAGGAGCACTCGATCTAGGATGAGAAAGAGGGACTTGTGAGTAAACGACCCTGATGCAAGGCCAGGGTCAGCGGATGAATCAGTGTGTGACAAACGTGTGTGGGAATATGTGTGTTACAATAAGAACAGCTCCCATTTGAAAAGGAACCACACTTCATTCCTGACATATATTATCTCATTAAATTACCCTTTGAAATATGTGAGGAACCAAGTTTCAAAATTTCAGCAATTTGCCCAAGATCTCGCAGTTTATAAGAGGAAGAGCTGAAGTTTGAGCCTAGCTCTGCTTAACTTAAAGCCCATGTTTTCCACCATATTCTACCTCTTCTGAGAAAAGACAGCTGAATTCTCAGCTCCTGGAACCAGACACATTAAGCTCTCCTTTCTCAAGAAAAGAACAGTGGCAGGTATTTTAGAAAGCCCAGGGGAACATGAATCTTCCCTGACTGTGACTGACTGCCGTGTGTGTGTGTATATGTGTCGGGGGAGGTGAATGTTGTTTATACATTCACAAGGAGATCATAGTCATAGCTTCTTCATGAGGCTGTGAAGGATAAATTAGATCTCTCTGTGACATCACTTATTTCTATGACATGTACATGTTAAATTGTCATAATTTATTCATTTGTTCAGCAGACATGTCTCTGTGTCTACTGTATTTTCAGCACATACTATGTGCTAGGAATACAAAGATAAATAATATAAGCTCTCTGTGCCTTAGCAATTTACAGTCTAGTGGGGAGACAGAAAATGATTAAATGATTATAATAAAATATTAGCTATATGCTGCAATGAAGGAAAACCCAGATCAGTTACTGCTACATGAGCCTCCTCCTCGTGCCATTGCCCCAGCCAGTGGGAGAAGGTGTCTTACAAGAAGCACTGTGTGAGCTGAGGCTTGAGGAATGCGTCGGAGTTTGCCAGATTCAAGACAGATCAGGAGAGGGGTGAGGAGGACGGAGAAGGGCATCCCTGGGGCAGAAAGGAAAGGGGTTCACACACAGATAAACACGGAAAGATGTCTTTTTAAGTAAATATACATATTTCATTGGTACTCAAGGATGGCAGAATAGCAAGAGAAAACTGAGAGACCCCAGTGGTGAGATAATGGGAGTTCTTGGATGCCATGCCCTTAAGATTGGGGGAGGAGGGAAGATGTTTGAAGGGTTCTGCTAAGGGGAATGACAGCAGCAGTTTCTGTTTTAGAACAAATCCGTCTCTGGTGGATGCATGGATGAGGAATGGGGGCAGGGAGACCGCTGCAGAGACCCGACAGGGACAAGGAGGATGATGAGAGAGAGACAGCTTCCAAAACATATAAAAACAAGACTTGGGAACTAAGATAATACATATATGTGAGCCAGTGGGGACGTGTGCAATGTGCCAAGCTCCCTGCCAGGAGATAGAGGAGGAGCAGGAGTAAACTGCTGAGTTCAGCTTTGAACCTGCTGCAGTTGAGGAAGCGATGGGACTTCTCAGTGGATACCTCCAACAGACTGTTAAGTTTATAATTCTAGAACTGGAGAAAAAGAGCGGAGTAGGAAATGGAGCTTCATGAATCAGAAGCCTGTGTGTGAATGGGTATTGGAACCTGGGTATAGATGAGCTCTTCCAGGGATCGATTGTAAAAAACAGAAAGAGAACCAAGCGCTTGTTCAGATGAGTGGCATGCACAGGAACCCTCTCCCCTGCCGTCCCTCTTTGAGGTCTGTCTTTACTATTTCCTCACCATCTGGGTTTATTCAGTTGTACCAGTAAGTTAATAACATTTATACATTTACATAAGAATATGTTAATACATTGATTGGGTACAGTGGCTCATACCTATCACCTCCACACTTTGGGAGGCTGAGACAGGAGTATTGCTTGAGGCCAGGAGTTTGAGGCCAGCTTTGACAACATAGTGAGACCTCATCTCTGCAAAAATTTGAAAATTAGCCTGGCGTAGCGACATAAGCCTGTAGTCCCAGCTACTTGGGAGGCTGAGGCAGGAGGATCACTTAAGCCCAAAAGATTGAGGCTACAGTGAGCTATGATTACACCACGGCACTCCAGCCTGGGCAAGAGAGTAAGACGTTGTCTTAAAAATAACATATTATTACAGTATAACACAATAAACGTGCAGATGATGAACATTTACTTCTCTGCTTCTGAAAAAAAAGTCCTTAAAGAAGTTGTAAAAGTACTTAGTTGAAAAGCACCTTTAAGAATAGCAGTGTTACTCACAACAGTGCAAAGGTGGAAACAGCTGAAACCCATCGTGAGACAAGTGGATAAACAAAATGTATATACATACAATTAACCTGTTCAGCCTTGGAAAGGAATAGCTTACACGCTACGATGAACCTTGAAGATATCGTGCTGAGTGAGCTAAACCGGGCACAAAACGGCAGATACAGGCTGAGCATCCCTCATTCAGAAGTCAGAAATCCTCCAAAATCTGTAAGTGGAAAATTCCACACCTGACTTCATGTGACAGTCAGAACTCTGTTTCATGCATAAGAATATTTAAAATACTGCACAGTTACCTTCAGGCTATACATGTAAGGTGTATATGAAACATAAGTGAATTTCATGTTTAAATGTGAGTCCCAGTCCCAAAATATCTCATTATGTCACAGACAAGTATTCCAAAAACTAAGAAAAAAAATCCCAAATTCAAAACACTGCTGGTCCCAAACATTTTGCATAAGGAAGAATAGACCTGGATTGTATGATTCCACGTGTGTGAGTCACCTACAACAGTCAAGTTCATAGGGACAGAAAGTAGAATAAATTTTACAAGGGTGTGTGGGGGAGGGGGAATGAGGAGTTAGCATTTCATGAATAAAGAGTTTCAGTTTGAAATGATGAGAAATTCTGGAGATGAACAGTCGTGCTGCTTACACAGCAGTGTGAATGTGCTAATGCTAGTGAATTGTACACTAAAATTTGGCTTCAATGGTCAATTTGTTGTGTATATTTTACCACAGTTTTTAGTGGTAAAACAAAGAAGGGGAAAAAAAGACCTTGGAGAACATCAACTGCAAACCTATCTTTGTGTGTGTGTGTGTGTGTGTGAGAGAGAGAGAGAATGAGTTTTGCTCTGTCACCCAGGCTGGAGTGCAACGATGCATTCTGGGCTCACCAAAACCTCCACCTCCCGGGATCAAGCAATTCCCCTGCTCCAGCCTCCCAAATAGCTGGATTACAGGCATGCACTACCAGACCTCGCTAATTTTTTTGTATTTAGTAGAGACAGGGTTTCACTATGTTGGCCAGGGTGGTCTCAAACTCCTGGCCTCAGTTGACCACCCGCCTCCACCTCCCACTGTGCTGGGATTAAAGGCGTGAGCCACCATGCCTGGCCTGATCTTTTTATAAACCAAAAAACTGAACCCCAAGATTGTTTCAATGGCTTATACACAGCCACACACCTGTTAATGAGAGAGAATCTAGCCAGAATTTTATCTGTAAGAACGAAGCCGCGGGGATAAAATGGTTCCAGCATTCCCTCGGCTGCCCTCATTGCCTCCCTTTTCTCTCGCCCATTATAAATTCCCTCCTTTGGTGGAAAATTACATGCTTTATTCAAAAGCTGTGAATGTGTCCTGGTTTATTCCCACCTCCTTTTAACATTGAAGCTCATCTGTTTAAACAGAATTTCTTTCTGGAATCATGCTGGAATCACCCCGAAGCCCCCGCTTTAGCCAGAGACTGATAGGGTAGCACTCCAGATGCGTGTTCCACACCAGATCACACAGGCCCATATGCAAGATTCACAATGCACACAGCTTCAGAAATAAATTCAGTTAAACAGCTTGGTTGCTTTCACTGTAAAAGCAATGCAATTTATCTTAATAGGAGATGTCTATTTAGCTGCACAAGTTTTAATTTTTATGCGACATTGAAAAGATAAAGGTTGATCTTGGGGCTTGAGAACATCGGTTGAATGAAGTTCACTTGGGTCAGATTTTTCTATCTTAATTAATCTCTTTTCTCTGCACCACACGCTCTCCCGCCTGCCTCACCCCCTTCTTCTGTACTTACTAGACATTCAAACACAGCTGGAAAAGTGGGATGATGTGAAGTTTCACGGAGATCGAAACAGCAAGGGGCATCCAATGGCAGAGAGAAAATCATGCTCATCTAGAACTGGATCAAAAGAGCTCTTATGGTAAGGTTCTTCAATGCCAGAAAATGCCTATTTGTGTATCAGCTTTCTGACTGGCACTGAAATAACCAATGGTTTACGTCAATGCAAATACTTGGCATCACGGGTAACCCCTATATAACAGTGCTGATTATTGTGGCTTCCACCAGCTCGGGTTATTTCATCTCAACCATCAAAAATTAATTCAACTCAGTTAGTAAGGGTTTTGAGAGATTCGTAGTTCAACATTGTTAATAATGTTCTGAATGTGAAACTCTGCTGATTAGTAAAAACAGGTGTGTATGCATGAGCATAGCCAATGTGTTACATAAGTAATGGTTAAATATTTGCAGTTTATACAGGGGCCTTTTCTGGTGTGCTCAACGATCCACTATCAGATAACGAAATAGCTAAAAATAAGGCGTGGAGGCTTAGGAGAAAGTCTGGCCACCTGAGTCATTCCGTATTTTTGAAGCTTCCTAAAAGGCAGGGTTCGGCTTCTGTCTCCTTCTTGCCTTGCCACATCTTCACTTATCACGACATTTCAAATTCTACAGAAAGATAAAATCTCTCCTGAGACACTCTGTGGGAAGTTCCTCCCCCTCAAAAAAATATGTCATAGGATTCCTGTAACAAAAATGTATTTCATTTATTTACTTTTTGCCCATAGTTGAATGGAGTTTTTAGTCAATCCAAGATAATAACACCTAGCACATTGTAGCCTCTTATATTTGGAAAGTGGCCATTATAATAGAAATACATGAAACTTATCTCTATCGTCAGAATTTTGATGTGAGCTTTGACATCATGGCTTTCAATGATCCAAAGACCTGGGTTTCTTGGCTGTGTTTATAGCTTAATTTGTTTCTAGAGGTACATTTAATTTCCTTAATGCATCCCTTATAGGTCCTCAGAGCACAGATCTCAACCAGAACTGAGTGGTGGGAAAAGCGCCCTCAACTCTGAGTCGACTTCAGAGTTGGAATTAGTGGCTCCAGCTCAGGTAACAAAACTGATGATTCAATGAACCCATCTTTTCCTGTCCATAACGTAAAGCATACATGTTTTATTTAATTTTGTACAAAAGGTTTGAAGTATTTTTTGTACACTGCGTTTTATGTGCTGTTTCATTCAGTAGCTATCTCAGTGCTTAAAATAGCTGAAATATAGGTGTATCTGTGTATCTACACATTTGGCTGGAGAATGTGTTAATGAATTCACTGTGTACTTAGTACTTTTTCCTTGTTCTACCATTTACTGTTCTATTATTTTGCAATACAAAAATCTGTTCTACTCTATTATGAGCACTATTTACATAACAGAACTCTATGGAGAGGAAATTACATCTTGAGTGTTCATTCACATCTATGCCCTGTGGAACACACTACACATTGGTACCCTGACTGTCACAGGAAAATAAATGTCATATCGAGAAAATATATTATTGTAGTATTAGCAGTAATAATGATAGTAATAGCTACCATTTGTGAGTGCTACTAAGTATCAGGGGCTTTACAATGTGTTTTTAAGTGTTATGTGTAACACGCAAATAATGCTGTGAATTGTCAGCCTCAGTTTAAAGATACTCTTTAGTCTCAGTGACATCAAACATACTCTCCTGGGACACTCCACTAAATCACTGGAGGAAGTAGGGTATGAGCTGGGTCTGAATGTCCAGTACTTGACCCTTAAGTCCAGTTTAGCTTTTTTTTTTTTTTTTTTAAGATGGAGTCTCATTCCGTCACCCAGGATAGAGTGCAATGGCGCAATCTTGGCTCACTGCAACCTCTAACTCCCTGGTTTAAGCGATTCTCCTGCCTCAGCCTGCCAAGTAGCTGGGATTACACGCACACACCACCATACCCAGCTATTTTTTGTATTTTTAGTAGAGATGGGGTTTCTCCATTTGGCCAGGCCGGTCTCGATCTCCTGACCTCGTGTCCACCCACCTCCGCCTCCCAGAATGCTGGGATTACAGACATGAGCCACCACACCCAGCCAACTAGCTTTTTTGTAACTAGTTATCTTCTACAGTTGAGACCATATCTCCTGTGGTTCTAAGAAGGCCAAAGTCAGTCTGAGTCTTTTCATTCCCTTGAAGACTTTTAAAGGCCTTGATCTAAAACCGCAAAGATATCATAAAGTGTGTGCATCCAAGTTCATGCATTCCACAGTCTAGTTGAGAGGAGACTCAGTGTTTAAGGAAAATAAATGTGATACAATAAACAAGAGATTTTCTTGAGCTTACTAGATGATGAAACTAAAGGAGGAAATATACTATCTGAGGTGAAATAAAGAGATAATTATAATAATAGTTATAATAATAATTATATAATAGTTATATAATACAGTTATATAATTATAATAATATCATAAAGAATTATAATAATAGCAGATATTATTGAGTGCTATAATAAGGACTTCTTATATATTAGCTCATTTTCTGTTAAATAGCTGGATGAGGTCGGTTCAATTATTGCCTCCGTTTTACAGACAGCAAAACTAAGGTGCAGTGAGCTGAAGAACCTTTTCTGTGACCCACAACTAGTAAGCGGCAGAGAGACGGAGGACACAGACAGAAATCTTTAGCAAATAGGCCGCTGGAAGCTTTCCAGCCACCAGCAGTGCCCCCTGCAAACACCCGCCCTCCACAGGAGAGCACCGTACTGCCCCCAGATCTTGGCTGGAAAATAAATCCACTCACTTCCTCAACAAACACCCGGCAAACCTCAATGAACCATAAATATAGCATGAAAATGTAGTTTTTCCCTTTGTGCTCACTCTAAATGTATTTTTTAAAAGAAAATGTATTGCACTTACTGTATCAGAAAAACATTTCTTGGTAGGTACAGTAGAGATTTAGGCTCAGCTAAAATAATTGGTACTGTTTCATAAACCGGAATTCTTGGAACAATTTAATGGAGCGATAAAACGTTTGTTTCCAAAGCGGGTGAGACTTGGCACAGGCAGGCCGTTCTACAGGGAGCTGAGGTGGAAGATCAGCCGGGTCCTGGTTGCCATAGAGACCCTGGATGCCTTTATCTCATTGCTCCGGTGACTGCTGCTCTCCTGCTGGTGGTCCAGCTCCATACCTCCTTCCTCTTGCGCACCAGGACCCCTTATTTCAGAAAAGTACTTTACAAAATTTTTCTGAGACTATATTGTCTCCAAAACATAGTTTAAAATGCACAATGAGAGTTTTCTATCTAGATAACTCTTAATGAATCCTTAGAGAGTTATCAATTCTTTGTAAAGAATTTATTCTTTGCTTGTTTTTTTAAAAAACATTGCCTGCTTACCTATGCAGATTTGCCTAAACTAAGGAAATTCTTAATCTCCTAGTTTTAATTTCAGCCTATGGTTAAATTGGGAAAATTTCATGAATTTGGGACTTATAGATCTGAAACACCAAGGCACTCAAACAGCAAGAGAATAACCTGATTAATCTACTTGTAATAAAAGACAGGAAGATGTTAAAGAAAAATCTGGCTGAGCACTGTGGCTCATGCCTGTAATCCCAGCACTTTGGGAGGCCAAGGCGGATGAGTCACTTGAGCCCAGGAGTTTGAGATCAGCCTGGGATACATAGCAAAACCCCGTCTCTACAAAAAACACAAAAATTAGCCGGGCATGGTAGCACAGGCCTATAGTCCCCACTCCTCAAGAGGCTGAAGTAGGAGGATCATGGTGCCTGGGAGGCAGAGGCTGCAGTGAGCTAAGACTGAGCCACTGCACTCCAGCCTGGGAGACAGAGCAAGACCCTGTCTCAAAAAAAGAAAAAGAAAAGAAAAAGAAACACCTTAGCCAAATTAAATTTAATGGAGTAATTGAGCAAAGAACAATTCACAAATCAGGCAGCCTCCTAAGCCAGAGCCGGCAGAGAGAGACTAGAGCAAAGCCACGTGGTGGAAGATTTACAGGCAGCCAAAGGAAAGCGATGTCCAGAAAACCGAAGCGAGGAACAGAAACAGTCTCGTTGGTTATATACCTTGTCCAGAAAACCGAAGTGAGGAACACAAACAGCCGTGTTGGTGACAGCTTGGCATCTGCCTTATTTGAACACGGTTTGAACAATTGCCCCACTTTGATCAGCCGAAACTATGTGATTGGCACAGGAGTGGGTTACAGTTTGCTTACACCTCCATTTAGGTTACGGTTCACTAAGCACAGAGAAATCTTTAGGCTGAACTTAAAATATGTAAGGAGTTGATTTAACAATATACTGTTAGAAGCATAAATATTTTGTCTTTTAAATATCAACTATCTGTATAGATTAAGTAAAATCATGAAGATGGTATAAAAATTCACCCAAGTAAAATCATGAAGGTGGTATAAAAATTCACCTTAAAAGCATAACTCAGATGGGGCCAGATATGGTGGCTCATGCCTGTAATCCCAATAGTTTAGGAGGCCAAGGCGGATGGATCACTTGAGGCCAGGAGTTCAAAACCAGCCTGGGTAACATGGTGAAACCTGTCTCTACTAAAAATACAAAAATTATTCCAGGCGTGGTGGCACGTGACCGTAGTCCCAGCTGCTCAGGAGGCTGAGGCATAAGAATTGCTTGAACCCAGGCGGCAGAACTTGCAGTGAGCCAAGATTGTGCCACAGCATTCCAGCCTGGGTAACACAGCAAGACTCAAAAAGAAAAAAAAGTATAAGTCAGATGGTTCACAGGAAAATCAAGGAGATGTTTTCTTCTCTCTCAAGCTAGCATAAATTATCTTAAGGCAGTGACACCACAGGTGAAGACCTATTTACCAGATTCCTTTAAAAATTGTATTTCAGAATCACAGAGAAACTGGAAGCTCACAATGTGGAGAACTGATGTTTTCAAATTTTCTTCACAAGATGAGGAAAAGGAAAAACGTAGTCTAACCGCTTTCAAATAGTGTTTTGAATACTGTAGGGATAAAAGGAACTTTCCTTCCACCTCTGGAAGTTTTGAGAATTTGAGTCTACAAAACAAACATGAACAGGAGAAAAGGCATGCAAACAGACTGATGCCGAAGCATGCAGAGTCACACAAAGCAGGAAGCTCAGAGAAGGGCCAGGTGCTCGGAACCGAAGTGTGCTCTTCCTAGAGGAGAGGGACGTGGCAAATGTTGGTACTTTTAGAGGAAGAGGAAATGATTTTTAGGGGAAATGAAGGGTCCTGAAGAACAGACAATAGCGTCGTAACCGTAGCAGGTTCATCACCCAATGCAGGTCAGCTAGCCAAGATACCAAGTTGCAACAGAGAAAGAGGTTTGATCATAGTGTCACTGAAGAAGGACATGGAAGGAAACCTCAAATCCCTCTCCCCGAGGAGTTTGGGACTAGGGTTTTTAAGTGTCTTGGAGTGGGCAGAAGTGTGGAGATGATTAACTGGTTGAAGAGTGTCGGGTGAAGTCATAGGACAGAGAGATGAAGATGCTGTGTTCCATGCTGACCCCATGCTGCCGTGGGGGTCTTCACACTGGTTGCTGGAATTCAGGGTCTGAAAATATCTTAATGATCCTTAAACAAAAGCCTTATGATTTGAATGTCAGAGATCCTGTCTGTAGGAACAATAAGAATATAAATGGTCAGTATCTGCTGCTGTGTGACTTTTGGCCACAAGGAAGTGGGACAAAGCACAGCCTGATTAATGCTTAATTATCACTATATCTATGTCCAGAACCTGGCACACAATGCTGTGAGGGCAGTTTCAGCCTGGGGTAAAGTTTGTCTGGGTCCTCTTCGATCAGCCAAAACACCTTGAATGGCACAAGAGTAGGTTACAGTCCTTTTACACTTCCATTTATGTTACAGTTCACTATATACAGAGAAATCTTTAGGCTGAACTTAAAATATGTAAGAAGTTGATTTATATAGATATCTATATATAACAAAAGCCATATTGGGAAGGCTGATCTTCACCATGTGTTATCATCTGTATTTCATTCTGAATCCTAAACCAGCAAGTCTGGGCACACTGCTAAAGTGCAGAAAAGTTTCAGGATCTTTAACTGAGCTGGTGTG